CAGCTTTAGATAATTGCCCTTGATTTTGTCTGGATCAGGGGATAATTGTTCTGTCTTTAATAACCAGATTATTACTATTGTTAGTATACAGGATTTATATAGCGCCAACAGTTTACGCAGCGCTTTACAACATAAGGGCAGACAGTACATTTACAATACAAATGAAAATACAGGAGGATTCAGAGGGCCCTGCTCAATAGAGCTTACAATCTAAGAGGGAGGGTTGAGAGATACAAAAGGTAACAACTGTGGGGGGATGGGCTGATGGAAAAAATACATGTACAGTTGTTAGGTGGGGCAGGATAGGCCTCTCTGAAGAGATGAGTTTTCAGGGATCGTCTAAAAGTAGACAGAGATGGAGATAGCCTGACACATTGGGGAAGGTAGTTCCAGAGGATGGGAGTGACTCTGGAGAAGTCCTGGAGGAGAGCATGGGAGGAAGTAACAAGGGAGCTAGACAGCAGGAGGTCTTGGGAGGAACGATTGGTTGGTATTCAAAGGTGACTGACTGCTTTGGATTTTTAACCCAATAACTATTGTTTGGCTAGGTTCACCTTTTACAGAAAATAGCCAATATAGTCAAAAGGCCTCAGTATATATTAAAAGTCTGTACAGCTTTGTAAAATGATAATTAATTCAATTTTTTTACCTGTAGGCCATTTGCGTTTCCTCAGAAACCTGGCTGAAAAAACCCTACGCGTTTCGCCCCCCTACCGAGGCTTGGTCACAGAGGTGTGTTGAAGCCCCAGTTGAGAGGTTGAAACGCATCAGAGGGTGTGGCCAGAAATGCGGCTGAGGCCATTCCTTAACATTGGACTCCTGGGGACGGTTGAGAAGCATCCATCCCTTCACTTGTATTGGCTGACCCTGGGATTGCTCGGACTCATGCTCCCCTCTTCTCACTTGCTGGTGGGGTGATCTTTTTCCTTCCATCCACAGCTTGGAGTGGCGCCATAAAGTATACTTTTCACTATAATAAAACTCCTAGTTAGCAATCCCCATGTTCTGACTTGTTGCAATGTGGTGGTTGCTAACTAGGTTTTAGCCAGGTTTCTAAGGGGACCCAAAATGGCATACAGGTGAAACAATAAAATGAATGATTCTTTTCCAAAGCTGCATGGATTTTTAATATCTACTATTCGACTGACTGCATAGGCTATTTCTGGAAAAGGTTAAACTTTAAATGCATGATTGGACAATCTAGATTCTCGTGGTCACTGAATGATTGTTCGACTTACTGACTAGAAACAAGTATGCAACACGTGTGGTTGGACCTTCTGTCTTGCACCTTGTTGTGGGTCAGTAAACAGCTGAGTAGTGGATATAAATGATCAGAAATATATAACTACTACAAGTTTGTAAAAACAGTGCCCATATAGTTTTACAACTCATCAGTTTACTATAATGTGAGAATTTAAAGATAATTGTTGATCATGTGTTATGGGTTATACACATTGCACATTGCTCTAGGTCTTATTAAACAGCACAGATTGTTTTTGCTTTTAAAACGTGATTTAAACATGATTTACAAAATGATTTACACCAGCCAGAGGCGTCCCTAGGGTTGATGTCACCCGTTGTGGTAACACTTGGTGACACCCCCTCCAACGATCCCCGCAGAATGGATCGGATCTGCGGATTGAGCATAATGGATCAGACTCCGATCCATTATGCTCAATCCGCAGATCCGATCCATCCTACGGGGATCGTCGGCTTTCTTTACAACTTACCTTTTCTTGGAGTGGGTCCGGGACAATTGCACATGTCCCGGTTTCAGGCACGATCAATCGATGATAGCAGTAGTTCTATCATCGATTGATCGTGCCTGAAACCGGGACATGCGCAGTTGCTTCAGGAGGACATATCTACATGGGAGACACATCTTGCCGATACACCGGTGTCACAGTGCAGGATCGTCCGCATGCAACCTATATGGGGTGACACCGGACCCGCTCCAAGAAAAGGTAAGTTGTAAAGAAAGCCGACGATCCCCGCAGGATGGATTGGATCCATCCTGCGGGGATTGTCGGCTTGTTTTACAACTTACCTTTTTGTGGAGCGGGTCCAGTGTCACCCCGTGCAGTCGGTGTCACCCGGTGCGGACCGCACCCCCCGCACCTGCCTCGGGACGCCACTGACACCAACACAGACTATTCTTTGAAAACTACAGAGCTAAAAGAACCTAATCTACTGTCCTTGTGCAATGTAGTCACACTTTGCATATTAAAAAAAAACTGGAAATGTACAAAATGAAGCAACTACTTTAAATGCAAGACTTACCGAAGGAAGAGGTGTAATTTTTTTAACCTGGTTTAAAGTGAACAAGTATCCATGATGGTGATGTGCATTGGTGTAACGAACTGCTTCTGAAGCTGCCTGATGGGCCTCATCATCATCACAGTTCAAAACTGGACTATTAGGAGGGGCTACATGTGCTGAGCACAGGAGCGACTGAGCCAGGAACAAAGTGGCCAATAGCAGCCTCATGGTGCCACACTACCACTTGTGCGTCTCTTGATGCGGTCTGCGAGCTTGAGGGTGGTGGTTGTATGGCAGAATTCTTATATATATATGTATAAATCTAGCAGAATGATGCCAGAAAAAATATTTGCTCTGGCGCTTCAGGTCTGTACACATGAAACAGAAAAATAAACATTTTGAAAATCAATTTGTCTAGTTAATCTTTCTGAATTTTAACCTGAAATGCCTTTGGCATTAACAGAAGCATAATGGACATTTGATTTGTTCAGTCATATCGAGATTGTGTATTCTGTTAATCACCAGCCACTTTTTTGGGTACACCTTGCTAGTATCGGGTTGGACCCCCTTTTGCCTTCAGAACTGCCCTAATTCTTCTTGGCATAGATTCAACAAGGTGTTGGAAACATTCCTCGGAGATTTTGGTCCATTTTGACATGAGTTACTGTTTCCATTCTATCATCTCAAACCAGTCTACCCATTCTCCTCTCACCTCTGACATCAACAAGGCATTTGTGTCCACACAACTGCCACTCACAGGATATTTTCTCTCTTTTGCACCATTCTCTGTAAACCCTAGAGATGTCGCAGTAGATCAGCAGTTTTTTAAATACTCAGATCAGCCCATCTGGCAATAACAACCATGCCACATTCAAAGTCACTTAAATCCCCTTTCTTCCTCATTCTGATGCTCAGCTTGAACTTCAGTAAGTTGTCTTCACCACGTCTAGATGCTTAAATACATTGAGTTGCTGCCATGTGATTAGCTGAAAAGCAATTTGTGTTACCAAGCAATTTAACAGGTGTACCTAATAAAGTGGCTTGTGAGTGTACATACAATATATTAGACATACAATATATTAGTGTGGCAGCAAGTTATTGAATTTCAGAGAATATAACTGAAATAACTGTATAAATATTTATGTTAACAGCCTGCTAAAAAATTACTGTAAATTTCACTTAGAAATTGTATTTTAAAACAATTACCTTGCATGTTCGTTTTAGTTTCTAAATCTCTGGCCTCCATTTGGATGCCTAGGGCAGCTGTCACTTTAGACGTGGGTTCCTTGTATACACCACATGCACTAGGTTGGAATGAGTTCGATGTTTCCAGAGCTTCTGGAAAAAAGACAACCAACAGCTCTTCAACTGGTTGAGTGGTAACAGATGTGATCTAATAAGAAGGTGATGTGCGTGGAGGTGCAGTCAAAAGTAATGCTAAGAGTTAGGCCGGCCATACGTGGGTCGATTTCCAAACTATTTTTTGTTCAAAGATCGGACCTAAGAATAATTGACCGATTTTCGCTCTGTTTAGTGGTTCCTCCCCATTTCTTTTATCGGGCATGTTGGAAAATCAGTGAAAAACTGACCGATTTTTTAAATCATTGGTGGCACCATTGGATGACAGAATGAGCAACGTTTTCGATTGAAAAAGCGTTCGGAATTCAACCCATGTATGGCCTGCTTAAAGAAGTGAAAAGGAAGAGAGCAGGACATTTGCGGCAGAGGACTGCGCTACAGTATAGAAATTAAAAACAGAAAGTGATTAGAGAAACATAGGTAGAAAAGTAAGCTTAAAAAAAGAGGTTAATCATTGGTAGTAGATGTGTGCTATTCGTTTTGGTCTGAATCTGACTTTTTGGTTATTCGATATTCGGATGTATCCAAATTTCTGAATACCAATAGTAACCCAGACCAATAGTAACATATTCCAGCCCACCCCCGTATGTGAATGAGTATGGATTGTATAGTAATTCTACTCATTCACCAAAAAAATAAAAAAAATGAGAAAAAATACAACACCACTTTTTGAAAAGTCCTTTATTAATAAATAAATAAATGTCCCCCGAAGTAGATCCAGCCTCAATGACGATGAACGCTGGCCTGGCATCTCGAACAAAAAAAAGAGCTGCACACCTGACGAAGGCTCCCGCCATCTGACAGTTCTTAGATAACAAAGGGGCGTGGCCATCCGATGACATCGCCGGGTGACTCCACCTGTTGTGATGTCATTGACTGGGGCATGCTGGGTCGATGACGTCACAAGGGGAGGCGGATTCATCTGGTGACATCATCGGGTGGTCCGCCACTTTGTTATTTAACGACTTGCCTTGCAGAGGATTTACCCTCCTTCATGACCAGACCATTTTTTGCGATACAGCGCTGCATTATTTTAACTGACAATTGCACGGTCATGCAACATTGCACCCAAATAGAATTTATGTCCTTTTTTTCCCATAAATTGAGGTTTTTTTTGGTGGTATTTGTGTTTTTTATTTTTTTTTGCACTGTAAACAAAAAAAACGGACAATTTTGAAAAAAATATTTTTTTTAATTTTTGCTATAAAACATGTCCAGTAAAAAATTTTAAAAAGCTAATTTCATCATAAATTTAGGCCAAAATGTTTTATGCTATATGTCTTTGCTAAAAAAAAATCCCAATAAGTGTAAATTAATTGGTTTACGTGAAAGTTATAGCATCTACTTTTTTTTTTATACTAGTAATGGTGGCAATCAGCGACTTATAGCGGGACTGCGGCGGGCATTCTGACACTGGGGGGAACTGACTAACTGCCACTGACATCTCCAGTGACACTAATACAGTTATCAGTGCTAATAAAAAGCACTGACACTGTACTAATGACACTGGGCAGGAAGGGGTTAACATCTGGGGCGATCAAAGGGTTAACTGTGTACTGTGTCTGTTTCATACTGTGGGTTACACTGTGGGTTAACACTGTGCTGTGTGCTGCTTTATTAGTAAGTATGCAGCTTTGTATTGCTCTGCTACGCAGAGCAATACAAAGCAGCATGCTGGTGCTGACAGGGGAGAGATCTGTGCTGTTTACATACAGACCTCTCCCCTGTCAGTGTTCCTTGGGTGCTGGTGGGGAATCACCGGGTGCTGGCGGGGAATCTCTGGCTGAGACCTGGTGATCGACAGCTGTAGCCCCCAGTGGCGGCACGTGTAGGGTGGCATGCGCGTGCATGCCACTCACTGGCCACTTTATTAGGTACACCTTTACAAATTGCTTGGTAACACAAATTGCTAATCAGCCAATCACATGGCAACAACTCAATGCATTTAGGCATCTAGACGTGGTGATGACGACTTACTGAAGTTCAAGCTGAGCATCAGAATTATTTATTTATTTCAAGTACTTATATAGCGCCATCAATATATGCAGTGCTTTACATATATATTGTACATTCACATCAGTCCCTAACCCTCAAGGGGCGTACAATCTAAGGTCCCTAACTAGCATTCATACATACACATACTAGCGACAATTTAGACAGGATCCAATTCACCTACCAGCATGTCTTTGGAGTGTGGGAGGAAACCGGAGGAAACCCACGCAGGCACAGGGAGAACATGCAAACTCCAGGCAGGTGGTGTCATGGTTGGGATTCAAACCAACGACCCTTGTACTGCCAGGCGAAAGTGCTAACCATTTAGCCACTGTGCTGCCCCAGAATGGGGAAGAAAGGGGATTTGAGTGACTTTGAAAATGGCATGGTTGTTGGTGCCAGATGGGCTGGTCTGAGGATTTTAAAAACTGCTGATCTACTGGGATTTTCATGCACAGCCATCTCTAGGGTTTACAGAGAATGGTCAGAAAAAGAGAAAATATCCAGCGAGCAGCAGTTGTGTGGACAAAAATGCCTTTGCCTTTTTGATGCCAGAGGTCAGAGGAGAATAGGCTGACTGGTTTGAGATAATAGAAAGGCAACAGTAACTTATGTCAATATGGACCAAAATCTCTGAGGAATGTCTCCAACACCTTGTTGAATCTATGCCATGAAGAATTAAGGCAGTTCTGAAGGCAAAAGGGGTCCAACCCAGTACAAGCAAGGTATACCTAATAAAGTGGCCGGTGAGAGTATAGCAATTTGCACTTTAGAGCAAAAGAGGTTTATTTAAAATTTTTAGCTTGCAAGCTACTGTAGTAGAAGAAGACATCTAAGTGTACTGGACACTACTTAATACTGAATAGCTGATCATCTGGTTGGGACCATCACGGATGAAGAGGTTATCATGAATGTAGGATGGTGACATGCAGGTTTATGCAGGTGACAGTGTTCCCTGGCTTATTTGGTTTCTTTTCTAAAAAGGCACTTGCAGTTGATTTGGAGCACCTACAACCACTCCACTGTAAATGTGTTTGATCTTGATAACTAAGAATGGTCACTTAGATAGGAACACAGTGGGATGTATTTTTAATTTAGTTTCCTATTCAATGCTGCATGATCTGTATCTGGAGCAGGGGCGGACTGATAACTCATGGGGCCCCCCGGGCAATAGGGAATCATGGGGCCCCTGTGTCCTTGCTCACACTCAAAAAAGCCTATATAAAAGGTACCAGGGGCATTTCATGGGGCCCCCTACTGACCACGGGCCCTCAGGCAGTGCCCGAGTGCTTGAATGGTCAGTCCGCCCCTGATCTGGAGTGTATGTTTAGCTCTCCAGGACATTGGGTACTCAAAGATGGGCCGATCACCAATTTACATGACTCCAGACTGGTAAAAATGTTTCAGTTTTTCCATTTTCTTCTCAATAGTAACCATGTTGTCCATCCACTGGGCTGATAGACAGACAAACCTGAAACAGCTGCATTCAGTTTGGAATAAATGGCTCACAAATATTACTCCGTGTCTATGCTATAACCAGGAGTTCAAGCATGCAGATACCTAAATAGTCTCTACCATGTTACCAGTGCAATTGTAAATTCACTCTGAAAAAACTATGTGTTCATGTCATATTTTTCCCTAAAGCCTGTCCATGCAAACAGTCATTCAGAATCTTTATCATGCAAGTACTATACAGAACTAGGAACAAATAGGTTCTCTGTCCTACCTACAGTGCAGTTCATGCTGTTGACTTTATACTGCCCTCTAATATACACTGCTCAAAAAAATTAAAGAAACACTATTTAATCAGAGTATAGCATCAAGTCAATTAAACTCCTGGGATATTGATCTGGTCAGTTACTGTACATAGCAGAGGAGGCTGTTAATCAGTTTCAGCTGCTTTGGTGTTAATGAAATTAACAACAGTTGCACTAGATGGGCAACAATGAGACAACCCCCAAAACAGGAATGGTTTTACAGGTGGAGGCCAATTACATTTTTTTTCCCTACTCATCTTTTCTGATTGTTTTTCACAAGTTTTGCAGAGGTTGCACAGGCAGTCCAACTCCTCCAGGATGGCACATCATTACATGCTATTGCTAGAATGTTTGCTGTGTCTCCCAGCACAAGAGCAAGGAGGAGATTCCAGGAGACAGGCAGTAACTCTAGGAGAGCTGGACAGGGCCATAGAAGGTCCTTAACCCATCAGCAGGACCGGTATCTGCTCCTCTGTGCAAGGAGGAACAGGATGAGCACTGCCAGAGCCCTACAAAATGACCTCCAGCAGGCCACTGGTGTGAATGTCTCTGACCAAACAATCAGAAACAGACTTCATGAGGGCGGCCTGAGGGCCCGACGTCCTCCAGTGGGCCCTGTGCTCACTGCCCCAGCATCATAGAGCTCGACTGGCATTTCACATCAGAATAGGCAGATCTGCCACTGGCACCCTGTGCTTTTCACAGATGAGAGCAGGTTCACTCTGAGCACATGTGACAGACGTGAAAGGGTGTGGAGAAGCCGTGGAGAATGTTTTGTTGCCTGTAACATCGTTCAGCATGACCATTTTGGTGGTGGGTCAGTGATGGTCTGGGGAGGCATATCCATGGAGGGACACACAAACCTCTACATGCTAGACAATGGCACCCTGACTGCCATTAGGTATCGGGATGAAATCATTGGACCCACTGCCAGACCCTACGCTGGTGCAGTGGGTCCTGGGTTCCTCCTATTGCACGACAATGCCTGGTCATATGTGAAGAGAGTATACAGGCAGTTCCTGTAGGATGAAGGAATTGATACCATTGAATGGACACTCATGTGACCTAAATCTAATAGAACACCTCTGGGATATCATATTTTGGTCCATCCAACACTGCCAGGTTGCACCTCAGCCTGTCCAGGAACTCAATGATGCCCTGGTCCAGATCTGGGAGGAAATACCCCAGAACACCATTCGTCGTCTCATTAGGAGCATGCCCCGACATTGTCAGGCATGTATACAAGCACGTGGGGGCCATTTTCAGCAAAATGGGCTAGCCTGCTGCATCATTTTTTCACTTTGATTTTCGGGGTGTCTTTGAATTCAGTCCTCTGTAAGGGGTGACACAGAAGGGTGAGTTCCTGCACCTATTCTCTGAGAAAGAAAGCCTTGCACATAGTACTTAACTGAACATGTACTATTATTAGTATATTAGTGGCTGCTGAGATGTACATTTTACATTAACTTTAAATTTTATCTCAGCAAAAACATCTACACATACACTACTATAAAAGAAATATAACCTATGGTTGATAGATGACATGGATCAATAAATGTCTACATTTTTAGTGCATGCAGTCTGCTGTCTACAAAATTCTGTCCAGAGACAAGAAGGCTTTATTATTTGTGTATGGCATATGCACAATGTAAGGATCTATTTTATTGATCTTGCTATTAAAGTGATGTACATCTTTATTTAAACAGTCAGATGACACATCTGTTTTGTATTGTATTTGCCTCTTATTCTGAGATAGAACATTGATGTCCTAAGGCACTTATTACATCATGTAGTGCAAAGAGGGCAGGGGTCCCTACTTAGACAGGCATGGAGAAGTGGAAACATGTGACATCTGCCATAGGGTACTTGATTTGCATTTCAGATGCTAAGGGAAACACCTCTGTCATTATAGGGAAGTCTAATCATACTTTACATTAAGTGACTTTAATGAAGCATTTGGAAAGCCACACATATGCCAGGATTCTACACTGCTCAAAAAAAATTAAAAGAACACTTTGAAAGCACATCAGATCTCAATGGGGAAAAATATCATGCTGGATATCTATACTGATATGGACTGGGTAATGTGTTAGGAACATAAGGATGCCCATCATTTGATGGAAATGAAAATTATCAACCTACAGAGGACTGAATTCAAAGACACCCCTAAAATCAAAGTGAAAAAATGATGCAGCAGGCTAGTCCATTTTTCTGAAATTTCCTGGGGTATTTCCTCCCAGATCTGGATCAGGGCATCACTGAGCTCCTGGACAGTCTGAGGTGCAACCTGGCGACGTCAGATGGACCGAAACATGATATCCCAGAGGTGTTCTATTGGATTTAGGTGAGTCGAGCGTGGGGGCCATTCAATGGTATCAATTCCTTAATCCTCCAGGAACTGCCTGCATACTCTCGCCACATGAGACCGGGTATTGTCGTGCACCGGGAGCCACTGCACCAGCATACGGTATGACAACGGGTCCAATGATTTCACTCCAATACCTACTAGCAGTCAGGGTGCCATTGTCTAGCCTGTAGAGGTCTGTGCATCCCTCCATGGATATGCCTCTCCAGACCATCACCGGCCCACCACCAAAACGGTCATGCTGAATGATGTTACAGGCAGCATAACGTTCTCCGCGGCTTCTCCAGACCCTTTCACGTCTGTCACATGTGCTCAGGGTGAATCTGCTCTCATCTGTGAAAAGCACAGGGCACCAGTGGTGGACCTGCCAATTCTGGTGTTCAATGGCAAATGTCATTCAAGCTCTATGGTGCCAGGCAGCGAGCACAAGGCCCACCCTCATGAAGTCTGTTTCTCATTGTTTGTTAGAGACATTCACACCACTGGCCAGCTGGAGGTCATTTTGTAGGGCTCTGATAGTGCTTATCCTGTTGCTCCTTGCACAGAGGAGCAGATACTGGTCCTGCTGATGTATTAAGGACCTTCTACGTACTTCCTGTCTCTTGGAATCTCCTCCATGCTCTTGAGACTGTGCTGGGAGACACAGCAAACCTTCTGGCAATGACACATATTGATGTGCCATCCTGGAGGAGTTGGACTGTCTGTGCAACCTCTGTAGGGTCCGGGTATCACCTCATGCTACCAGTAGTGACACTGACCCTAGCCAAATGCAAAACTAGTGAAAAACGGTCAAAAAGGATGAGTAGAGAAAAAAATGTCATTGGCCTCCACCTGTAAAACCATTCCTGTTTTGGGGGTCGTTTATTGTTGCCCAGTTAGTGCACCTTTTGTAAATTTCATTAACACCAAAGCAGCTGAAACTGACTAACAACCCCCTCTGCTACTTAACTGACCAGATCAATATCCCAGGAGTGTAATTGACTTGATGCTATACTCCGATTAAAAAGCGTTCCTTTAATTTTTTGAGTAGTGTACTTTTTATGGCTGCCAGATGGAAAAAAAAAAAACACAACACACACATCTAAAACGCAACACTTGTGTTCTTGGTGCGGGTCTATTGATGTCTATTACACGCAAAATGCAATCTGCTGCGGAAAAAAAATCCTGGACCCTCTCCAAAAAACTCACTGGCTCAAAACACACAGATGTGAACTAGATCCATAGGAAACCACGTTAAATGGACTGTAGTGCATTTCTGCAAACTGGAAAACGCACTGAAACCCACAAGTCTGAACCTACAGTAAACCATAACATCAGATTTCAGTTTGGTGTACTTAGAATATTTCAGACTGGTGCTTGTGGGTGAATGCACCTCGCACCTTAGCATAGCTCCTTGTGAAATAGAGCTTGCTTAGGTGAAGCAAGGTGTACTTTGATAAATACTTTGTTGAAATATGCAGTAGCTCAGGAATAAGAGTATTAAAGTCTAATATAACACACATGTGAACTGCCATTTTAAATGGAACGTTTCTAAATGACATATCACCTAACAAGGATCTCTGAACAGAAGACAAGCACTAAATCCTGAATGTGAATGATATTACTTGTAAGGAGCCATTCTAAACACATACCTATGATAGGACTTCACTTTACTAATGAAGTGATTACAATTGAATGCTCTTGTAGGTTTTCAGTTGTCACCTTGAGTTCATGTTGATATCTTCCATCAATGACTTTAATAATAAGTATAGGATAAAGTTCAGGTCAGCCTAAGAAGATCAATCACTGATCTGTATGCTGTATTTCAGATAAGGTTAATCATTACCATGTTACAACATGGAGAGTTGAGCGATCATGTTTTTAATGCATATCATGCTTCCACTGGCAGTATCTGAAAACAAAATTAGTTTTGCTGAAGGTCTGCTGTATACCTTGCAAGAATTTTAGCAATTTTTTTAGAAATATTAACCTGCTTTTGCTCTACAGCTACTAAAACAAAATGAAATGAGTGATAGGCAGTTCTGACTTTTCTTTAGTTACATGATTTGTCCCAATGTTGTAGGGAAAATAACACAGCTCCACTGCCATATATTTCACCAAATATGAAACTTCCATTGAAGAAACACTAAAACAAGCCTGTAGCAGTAAGATGTGTTATGAACTAATACGCATAATAACCTACTGTATTTTTCGCTCCATAAGACGCACCTGACCATAAGACGCACCTAGGTTTTAGAGGCGAAAAACAAGAAAAAAAATATTCTGAACCAATGGACTGCAGACACAGTACAGGGGATGACCAGAGACTGCAGACACAGTACAGGGGATGATCAGAGACTGCAGACACAGTACAGGGGATGACCAGAGACTGCGAACACAGTACAGGAGATGACCAGAGACTGCGGACACAGTACAGGAGATGACCAGAGACTGCGGGCACAGTACAGGAGATGACCAGAGACTGCGGACACAGTACAGGAGATGACCAGAGACTGCGGACACAGTACAGGAGATGACCAGAGACTGCAGACACAGTACAGGGGATGATCAGAGACTGCAGACACAGTACAGGGGATGACCAGAGACTGCGAACACAGTACAGGAGATGACCAGAGACTGCGGACACAGTACAGGAGATGACCAGAGACTGCGGACACTGTACAGGAGATGACCAGAGACTGGGGACACAGTACAGGAGATGACCAGAGACTGGGGACACAGTACAGGAGATGACCAGAGACTGCAGACACAGTGCAGGAGATGACCAGAGACTGCGGACACAGTGCAGGGAATGACCAGAGACTGCAGACAGTGCAGGGAATGACCAGAGACTGCAGACAGTGCAGGGAATGACCAGAGACTGCTGACCTTTGGGGAGGGAGGGGGAGCGGGTACCTGAATTTGACAGGTACCCGCTCCCACTTCCGCGGAGTTGTCCTTCCCTCTTATTCCAGGGCCAGCTTCTGTGACAGCCGGGTGCCCACTGCGCATGCGCGAGAAGCGCTGCGCTTTGTGAATGGCATCGCACATGCGCAGTGGGCACCCGGCGGTCACAGAAGCCAGCGCGGGAAGACTGTGCAGCGCTGGAGCGAGGAACAGGTAAGGCCCTGCAGGAGAGAACAGCTGAGTGGCCGGCCCGGTATTCTGACATGGTGGCGGCAGAAATACCGGACCGGCCGCTTTATATTCGCTCCATAAGACGCACTGACATTTTCCCCCCTTTTTTGGGGGGAAAAAAGTGCGTCTTATGGAGCGAAAAATACGGTAATCTGTCACTTGATCCAATTGCGCAGTATTTCATATGGCTACTATCATCTAAAGCTGGCCATACATTAGCAGATTGTCAAGCGAATGTTCCTACGTAAATTTGTACAAAAATTCACAGTGCATTCGATGACTTATCAAATGTCTTACTTCAAAATTTAGTTTGATTTTAATATTAAGTTTTGGAATGTATGGACTTTCCTCAACAGAAACCACATACACTGTTAAAAATGTGAATGAGGAAAGAACAACCAGAAGGCGCACAGGCCTAGTGCTTTACCATAAAAAATGTTTAATAAGAAATAAAGTAGGTGTTGTACTCACAAACGAGAATAAAGTCAAGGCACGTCATAAAAGAACGGCTTGGTCAAAACCGCGCTGAGTAACAGTCCGTAATGGGGAATGTAGACATCCAAAAGGCTGATGCGTTTCGAGGACTTGCCTTTTCCTCAGAGCCCTTGAAATATGTCAGCCTATTGGATGTCTACACTCCCTATTGTGGACTGTTACTCAGCGTGGTGTTGACCCAGCTGTTCTTTTATGACGTGCCTTGACTTTATTGTCGTTTGTGAGTACAACACCTACTTTATTTCTTTTATGGTAATGCACTAGGCCTGTGCACCCTTGGTTTGTTCTTTCCTCATTCGGTATATTTGGATTTCCCCGGTCTATTGAGGGCAGCAAGGTGTGCATGTTCCAGGACATTCTTAATGTGGTTGTAGCCTGCGTCGAGTCCATCCCCAAGTGCAGGAGCATTTGTATTTGCCAGTTCACTGTTACAAATGTGTCCCTTCCAGAAAAAAATTTTCATCCTGCTTCTTTGAATTTTCTGAGGTCAGAAATTAATAGTATTCAACCCCACTAATGATTAGAAAATTGTTGCCCTCCTGAGGATTTACCCCCCTTCATGACCAGGCCATTTTTTGTTTTATGGCACTGCATTACTTTAACTGACAATTGCGCGGTCATGCAATCCTGCACCCAAATTAAATTTACGTAGTTTTTTTTTTTTTCCCATAAGCTTTCTTTCGGTGGTATTTGATTGCCTGTGCCTTTTATTTTTTGCGCTATAAGCAAAAAAAGACCGACAATTTTGAGAAAAAATCTATATTTTGGACTTTTTGCTATTAAACATGTCCAGTAAAAAAATTTAGAAAATCTAATTTTGTCATAATGTTAGGCCAAAATGTATTCTGCGATATGTCTTTGCTACAAAAAAAAAATCCTAAAACATGTAAATTAATTGGTTTACGTACAAGTTATAGCATTTACAAATGGTGGTATAGATAATGGGATTTTTTTTTCTACTAGTAATGGTGGCAATCAGCGACTTTTAGCGGGACTGTGGGACTGTGACAGATATTCTGACACTGGGGGGGAATTAACTTGGTGTCACTGACACCCCAGTGACACCAATACAGTGATCAGTGCTAAAAAAAGCACTGACACTGTACTAATGGCACTGGGCAGGAAGGGGTTAATGTGAGGGGCCATCAAAGGGTTAACTGTGTGCTGGGAGTGATCCAGATGGCTGTACTGTGCACAGCCATCCCGAGAAGTGCGCTAGGGCTGACAGGGAGGAAGATTGTTTGTAAACAAAACAATCTTCCTCCCTGTCGGAGATAATCACCGGGCGCTGGCGGGTAATTACTGTCCGGGACCCGCTGATTGACACCTGTGGCCGTGAATGGCGGTGCAGGTAGGGCACATGCCCTCTACCCAGAAATGCAAAATGACGTATATATACGTGATTCTGCTTACAGGTGCTGCCCTGTAGCAGTATATCTGCTATAGGGTGGTCCTTAAGCGGTTAAAACCAAAAATTTTGAATGAAATTCTATTAGCGTAAGGCCAGCTCTAGAGGGGGTGCAGCCTTGTAGAATGAGTACCCACCACCAGCAATCTACAGTGCCTCAGAAACTAGTCATCTGGCTTGTATAGACGAGCATAGATGAGTAAAATTCTTCTTCATTGCCAGTATTGTGATATACTCACGTAAAGAAGTAAATGAGTAAACATGTGAGTAAATTACTGCTATTTTTGTTTTATTGCTCTGTACTCAACCCTGTATTACTGATCTTTACTCAGCTGTGTGCAATGTCCCATAGACAACAATGTCCCATGCAATGTCCCATAGACAACAATGTCCCATGCAATGCCCCATAGACAACAATGCACCTCATTTTAGATCAATAACAAACTCAGCATTTTTTACTCCTTTGTGTAACAGGCCTAAAGGCAGCTCGAAAATCAGCGATGCTCCTGGCAAAATCAAGGCTGAACTCTAAAATTTCTGCCTCATCATTTACTTTGGCATTCAAATATTAGAAATCAAAAGGAAGAAAGTCCAAATCTGTGGCTTATCATTTGGCACAGGGTCACTTTGAATGGTCATTAAAATGACATGGGTCTTCGAGTTTGCAAAGAAGGCATTTCATTATCACTAATACCTGACTGATTAAAGAAAGACAAAAAAAAATGCTTAGTAGCAAAATCCTTATTTCAAACACAGTGAAAAGAGAAGTATGGTCAAAGCTTTTTTAGCCATATTTCTCTTCTGGGTCGTAGGAGTGCACTTACTTTTGCACTGCTATGACCCAGTTAGCTAAAGCCTGCTGTCGGCTGATGTCGCAGAGCCACTCCAGGCTTTGGAAGGATCCCGACCATGTTGTCGGGATCCACCCAACTGCCTGATTGACAGATGGCTCCAGCTCACAGCATGTGACTGAGAACTGAAGCCAGCTGCATTTGCCCCCTCTCCAGCCCGGCACTCCAGTGGGCACTGGAGGGGCAGAGCAGAGAGGAGTGACTAACAGTAGTGGTGGAAATGCATTTGTGGATTTAACCAATCATTTCCATTACTTATCCATGTAATGAGCATGTGGCAGGGGGTGTGAACTTTGACTATATTTTGCTAATAGGTGTCTCTCTTTCCCATCCAAGAAAGTTGGGAGGTATGTACAAATCTAAATGCTTTTCAAATTAAAAAAGATCTTTAGGCAACTGTATAAACTCCTAACAATGTAATGCAGTGATCTCCAAACTGCAGCCAGTGAGCTGGATTTCTTGCCTTTAATCCACCCTTGGCTCCCTATCAATCATTGATGGGACACTATTCCTTCCACTGACATCAGCTGTGGCATTTTTCCTCCTTCCTCTGACCAAAGACACTGAGCCATTTTTTACTTCCACTGGCCACTACTGTTAGCCATTCATGGTTCAAACATAATGGAGCTGAAAGAGAGAAATCTAGCTGTGTATGGCTAGCTTAACTCCTTCAGTTTTGCAGGTTTAACATGTGTTAGTAAAACTGTAGATATCATCGCAACTACTTAGTGTATCCAGTTGAGTTACACCTTGTTTTTTTTTTCAGGACAAATTGGGCTTTAATTTTTGGGTAAATGGTAATGCATATTGTCTGACTTTTTTATTATCAAAGGAAAACTGACATGAAATTGTAAAAAAAAAAAATTTTTTAAATTTTGCTGTATATCTCTTGCTATTACTATAACCAACAACCAAAAAACAACCTAAAGTAAATTCTCATGCTCCTGACGATCGCAGCGACACCACACAGTATGTGTATTTTATTTGTTGTATGTACCTATGGTAGGGCCCAGAAACAATAGTGCACATTTTGCTACTTTTTTATACTACATAAAACCTGACCTTTGACTCTAACCATGATTTGGACCCTAACCCTGACATTGACCTAGATCAAACCTTTTTTTTTTTATTATTATTATTATTTTTACACATCCTGTTTTATTTACACTTTTTTCCTCTATCACGAAGAAACAGATACAATGTATCTTTTTCTCCATTCAAGAGAAGAAAAACAGGTGTGGGCTGTACAGTTACTGATCACTGTGATAGCCAATCATAAGCTATTACAGCAACCAGGTGATTGGGAACCGGGCCTTCTAGTTCCTGATGGTAAGTATGGGACCTCAGTGAGAGCCCAGCTTCTATGCTGGGAGAGTGCTCTGCAGTGCACCCCCAACACAAACACAAGTACACATATACACTCATAGGCCACTTTATTAGGTACACCTGTTCAATTGCTTGGTAACACAAATTGCTAATAAGCCAATCACATGGCAGCAACGCAATGCATTTAGGCATCTAGACGTCGTGAAGATGACTTGCTGAAGTTTAGACCGAGCATCAGAATGGGGAAGAAATGGAATTTAAGTGACTTTGAATGTGGTATGGTTGTTGGTGCTAGGCGGGCTGGTCTGAGTATTTAAAAAACTGCTGATCTACTGGGATTTTCAAACACAACCATCTCTAGGGTTTACAGAGAATGGTCTGAAAAAGATAAAATATCCAGTGAGCATCAATTTTGTGGAGAAAAATGCCTTGTTGATGTCAGAGGAGAATGGGCACACTGGTTGCTGCAACATTCCAATGGTAGGGTCAGAGTTTGGTGTAAATCACATGAAAGCATAAATCCATCCTGCCTTGTATTAATGGCTCAGGCTGGTGGTGGTGGTGGTGTAATGGTGTGGGGGATAGTTTATTGGCACTATCAAGGTGTACCTAATAAAGTGGCCCGGAGAGTGTATGTGGTCCCACGGATAAAGACCCACTTCTGTGAGGCTTCATATACGCAGTGGTGTATTTAGGTTTTGTGCTGCCCTAGGCAACACAAAAATCGGACACCCCTCCTATCTGGTGTAGAGAGCCTTACACGGACCAACACCAGACGCCCTCCCCCCCAATGGAGAGATCCTGACAGTGACCAACAATACCCCTGCCCCATCATTTCCTCCACCCAAGAGAGCCTTTCAGTAACACCCTCCCCCCTGATGACAGAGAGAAAGACACTCACCTTCACAGCTCTGGACATCCCCAG